CTCTCTCTCTCTCTCTCTCTCTCTCTCTCTCTCTCTCTCTCTCTCTCTCTCTCTCTCTCTCTCTCTCTCTCTCTCTCCCTCTCTCTTTCCACACACACACACGCGCATGCACACACACACACACACCAGCCTGCTGTACGTCCTGCACAGCGGGATGGGAGGAGGGGAAAAAAAGGCAGAAAGATCGCAGCGCAGCGGGGAGCTGCAGCCCAAACTGGACCGAACTTCAGTCCAACAAGACCAAACACTTTTATTCATGTTTTAAACTAGCGATCTTGTGAGCAGCTGCAGCTGTATGCTTTTATGTTTTCTGTCAGACTATTGGAGCGCTCCACCTCCTCTGTCCGYGGTTGGTGTGGGGTGAGGCGGACGGAGCTCAGCCGAGGCTGCGGTAAAGAGCTCMGTGTCCTGATCCAGGGAGAAAACACGAGTCAGTCCCAGACTGAGCTGACTTGATCAAGTCTCTCTCTGCCTCTGGTTAGGAGGGGGGTGAAAAATCCTCCACCTCAGACCGTTCAGAAATGTAACTATCTGCGTCGCTGTGGTCACTCTCCATGTAGCATCAATTATGCTAATGCTAGCTGTCGCGTTCTCTCGTCCTGGCCACACCTTCGCTCTCTAACCCCCCATTCCCCACCCATACCCCCTCTCCTACCCACTTRGATGCATTTTTCAAATTTCGCCTTGGGGTGGAGTTATCTTTTCACAGGCAGGTAAGATACACTTTAAATAAATCAAGGTATACTTTCTAGTAAGTTTAGCTTGTGTGACTAAAAATGTAAACCTTTGAAAAAATACTGCAGTGTAARGGCTCACAAATGCTGTCACTGAATATATAAATACATTTTGCATAAACACTTCTTAAATGTTGCAGTAAATCTCCACAATAAATCAGTGGAGCCGTTCAACACAGCTACAAAGATAATGGTCTAAATCAGTGGTTCCCAAACTTTTTGTCTTCTGACCCACAAAATATTCATGGCAAAAACTTGTGACCCCAAATAT